CTGATAAGTATAGTGCTTATTCCCTGTATTGACTTAGGTTTGTTAGCAAAGGTTTGCTTCGTTTTATTTTTTTAAACCGCAGTGGTAATATATTACACTTTTCTTTATAAAACATCTATAGGACACCAGTCTTACTCAGAAAAACAAGGACCCATGCCAAATCTTTGCGCGGAGCGATAGCGGAGTGCAACGCTGCATTGACAGTACCATTACTGATTTTCTGTACTAAATTAGGTTTGTTAGTTAAAGTTTGCTTCCTCTTATTTAAAAGCAAAGCGGAGTGCAACGCTGCATTGACAGTACCATTACTGATTTTCTGTACTAAATTAGGTTTGTTAGTTTGAGTTTGCTTCCCCCTATTTAAAAGCAATTCGGAGTACAGCAGCTCTGTATTGCCTGTATCGTTACTGAGCGGAACCCGCACCACAAGTCACCCGGCTCGCTGCGGCCTCAACACCGTGGAGGTAGGCAACCCGTCGCGCTGCCCGCTAGCGACAATTTCCCTTTTCTCCCGCACAATCCCCTCTTTTCCCTCAGATGCCCGCTAGCGACAATCCTGACCCTTCTACCTGGGGCCCTTGCCCGCTAGCGACATACGCCCGCCAAACCGACATCTCCCGGATTAAGAAGCGAGGTTTTTGGGACCATTTCAGAGTCGATCGAATGCCGACTGAACTCCTCCGTTGCACTCGGAAAAGAACGGGTTGCATGCGCAAGTAAAACATCGGTATTGTACGAGAGTTTTTACAAATAAATAGGGGTGAAATCGGTTACACAAATAATTCTTTTTGACAAACTGAGCGTGTGTTTCCGGGCGCTCCCTCACGCAATGGTATGAGAAATGCAGCGGGCGGCGGCGGTACGCGGCGGCGTGATTGAGAGAGGAGTATAGAACGTAACGGGAGCGGGCGAGCTGCTTTTGCTGCCTCCCGGGGCGACTCGCGACAAAGGGGTAAGCTCGGTTAAAATAGCGACAACAAGAGGGCGGGCATTGTCGGGCAGAGAACCGCATTAATTGTGGCCGCGGGCTGTGCGCAGCGCGGGGCGCGACACACACGCTCGATACAAGGCGGTGAAAGGCTCTGGTTACGACCGCATTGAGGAGGGCGCTATGCTGCTGCCGCGCCGAGCGGCTCAGAAAAATGCACCCCGATGATCGAAGTGGTGGTGGTGTCGGGTGAGGGAGTGGGGGGGGGATTAATGAGGACTATGGGGGCACTAACCGCCGCTGTTTGTGGTGGGGGAGCGGCACTTTTCACCGCCGCAGGTACCAACGTTCGTTCAGCGCGCGGCTTCATCATTTCCCGCGAAATGAGTTAAAACTGCAGGGATTTTAAGTTCCGAATCTTTTCCTCAAAAAAAAATTGCAAAAAATTACAATATTTCCAGAAACGTTGGAAAAAAAATTAAGAATAAAAACTTCAAAATTCAAAAAACAAATTTTTGAAAAATTTCCTCAAAATACTTTTCAACACAATGCTTTGTTAAAAACTCGCCAACACCGCGGGAAAATGGAATTAACATAACAAATTACGTACAGGGTGGCCTACAGGCCCCTTTTTCGTAGGCATGCGGACGAGTTTGCCAACTGTCGGTTTCACTTTTGAAGAAAAAGAGAAGGTATAGCGCGAACAAAACTAAATTCGACTCGAACACAACCTCAAAACACATAACCACAAAGGGGTCGTGGCGCGCTCAGAGACAACATTTACGGGGCTTATCCCCCCCGGTGGGTGGTGCGACACAATTTAAAGACCCTCCTATCGGCCCGCGGGGCCGTGTCTGCGAACCAAAGGCGCGCCGCTAGACAAACCCCTTTGTGTGCGGGCTCCTTACCGCTCGCCAATATCGGACGCATCGGGGCGGGGCGGGGCGGGGCAGATCGGTGTCCCGGCCGCACCAATCAGCCAGATTATTGACACAATACCACTGATTAAACTTTACAATGGCGCCGCAGAACCGGCGAGTCAGCGCGGCAGATCTCTTAATTGGATAGAGTATTGTGCGGGGTAAGTTAGCGCGGGGCGGAGGGCGGCGGGGCGGCGGGGCTGGGCGGGGTGGGCGCCGAGAAGAGGTGTGCTGCGCAGCCGTGGGAATGCGATTCCAAACCCACAGAGAAGGCGCGACGTGAGCGAGTATGGGGATGTTCAAGAAACCACGGGGACTTTAGAGGGTGGGGGTGGGGGGCCAATAATCCAAAATATTATGGGGTCCCGCAAATGGATCAGGACCGATCAGGACAGTTATTGGTGACCATGGAGCCCCAAAATATTTTGTCACCCGGGATACAAAAATCATGTGGTCCCTGTGGACATGGTGCGCCCACTGCACCCTTTTGCTGCAGCTTCCCTTTTTTGCGTGTAGAGCAACAGCCGCAGCGCCATACCAGGACCACGGGGAGCGAGCGGGTACAGAGTGACCGGTAGATGTTGGGCGGCACAGGCGCAGCGCCACGAGGACCATGCGAGCAGCGGGTAGAGTGACCGATAGATGACGGTGGATAGAGCGGCACAGGCGCAGCGCCACGAGGACCATGCGAGCAGCGGGTAGAGTGACCGATAGATGACGGTGGATAGAGCGGCACAGGCGCAGCGCCTCAAAGCCCAGAGCAAATAAGAGCTAATGAAGAGGGCGGTGCCAGCGGTGCCTGCGGGGCGGGCCCGGGCGGGGCGCGCACCGCACCGGTAAGGCAAGAGCCCGCCGCCGCCGCTCCCGCCCGCCACGCCCTCCCGCCTCACACCGCCACCGCCGCCGCCACTTTGCTCGAGTTTTACTTTAATACAGCGGACGATGGAGTTGGTTTAAGGACGATGAATCGACTCTTTACGCTGGCGGACCGTGTGTGAGTGTGTGTGTGTGTGAAGAGCCGCGCCACGCCACGCCCCCAGTGGCAACGCCCTTCCGTGGGAATGCTACTTTTGATACCACTGACACTAATTGTCCATCTGCCTCCCCTGTGCTGCCCCCGCGAAGGCCCGCTGGTGCGCGGTCTGGAGCGGCGAGCGAGCGGCACCCCGATCCTGCTGGTCCCGCCACTGGCCACTGATCACCGGCCACTGCTCACACGCGCGCGCGCACTGCTGCTCATTTCACTCCTATTTGCATCTCCGCCGTTTTGGCTCAGTTTTTGCACAGCCCATTGGAGTTTCCGCCGTTTTGAACGCTTTCTTAATCGGCCCTCGCATCATTTAGAAAGCTGCACGAAATTGTCAGCAAAGATGTAGGATTAGAATTCCCACCCAAACCCAAAAAGATTTGCAGGCGTCGGGGCAGTTTTAAAGACTTCCGTAAAAAAAAAAAATCAACAGCAGTTAGAGTAGCCTACGCACGTAGATTTGATGCCCCACTAGAGTTAGTTGCCACCCTCGAGACCACAGCCGAGCTCGTTGCCCGACACTAAACGGCGCGCAAAATGACAGCGCACCGTTGATGATAATAATGGCAAAAGCGCCAACCACCTCTCTACCGGGGCGTCATTAGAGAGGATGCTGTACCGTTCGTTTGCGGGCCACGCCCCGGCCCTGGCTGGCCCGGCTGGCACACATTCGTCAGGTTGGCACTTTTTTTTGAAATCGTTTTTTTTTTTAGGGTGCGCGATTGCTTTGGCGGCGCCATGCCAACGCCTAGGTGCTAAAGTCGGGTCTCTTGCTGGCGCCTCTGCGGTTTCCTCCCTAATTGTGCAATCAGACTGGGGGTGCGTCCCTGCCCCCCCCCCCCCTTTTCCCTCTCGAACCGTCGTCGAGAAGTGACCGTCTAAACGAAAACGCGAAGACGGAATCGATACAGAGAGGGCGATCTGCACCGCCTCCATCCATATCGGATCAACCAACATAGGCAAGTAATCGTTTTACTGACAGTCATATCGTAGGTATCAAGTGAAGGCTATATTTGTTGATATGAAGAACGTACACGATTATGAAACGTGATACGTTCAATAAATCGATTTAGTGGGACGGCAAATACATCACGGAAAGGAAAAAGGTGGCAGAATTTTCAACAAAGAAAACTTCCATACCGGAGGTTGGCTGCAGGAGGCGAGGCAGGTGACCGCGCTCGAGCCATACACAGCCACCACAAGGTGGATCTCGATGATTTGCTCGACCCAGGCCAGGCGGCAGCAGCAGCAGCCCCAGGCTGTTTACTCGTCCAGACGCGATTCGCCACACTTAGCGCCAGTGGCGACACAGCAGCAGCGGCCGCAGCCCCGGCCCGCCGCCGCCACGCCCCCCGTGATATTTCTGCGCGAACGGGACGGGCCTGCCGCTCGGCCTGCCGCCCTTCCTAATCGACTCGCATCAAGCAAAGAGTGCGCCCCTCGCCAGCACAGCGCCAGCGGCCAGCGCCATCGCCGCCCCCGCCCGGCAGGCTACAAGTTCAACATCATCCGCACGAATTTCAATTAGAAATTTCGGAAAAGTTAAACGAGAGTTGGTTCGGGAAAACAATTATCATTGCGCGAAGTACATTTTTGGTGTGACAGTGATGTATTTAATATGTAATCATACCAGTTCATTTAAACCAGAAAACAAAAATTAAATCTTTGCTCCTTTCTTTACATCACCGCCACGGAAATAATATAATAACAACATGTCAACGCCGGCGCACCTCTCTAGTCGTCGCCCTTCTTCTGCTTCTTCTTCTTGAACTGAAGGCCGCTCGAGAACTCGGAGGCAGCCAGCTTGGTCGTCCTCGCGGCCGAGGAGCGGGCGCCGAACGCGCTCGGCTTGCCGAAGGGCCCGCCCCTCGCGCCGGAGCCGGGCTTGCCGTCCTGGGACTTCCCCGTGCCGCGGCCGCCGGCCAGTCCCCGGCTGGAGCCAGGGCCACTGCGAACAGAAGGCAGACAGTCAGACAAACGGTACAAAAAGTCCTGGCAAACCAAACCCACATCTGAAAAAAATCAAAAATCAAAAAATCATTTTGTTTAAAAATTATTTGTACCCGTAACGATTTTTGCTGAGGTTTTGGTAATGTGCATACTAAACAACGTGCGCTCTGGTGACAAAATATTTTTGTTTCACTGTGTGGAGGACACACAGTAGCAGGAAGCGAGGTGGTGAGGAAGCCACCTGTGAAGGAGGCTGGATGGAGTCGCTTTAGAAGGAGACAGTGGAGTGACAGTGAAAGGCGACAACATTGCAGCGCAGCAGCCCAACCGGACATCTCAACTCGCCGCGCCTCACACAAGCACCTCGCAGCCTCATATCGCCCGCCTATCGACGTGTCTTTCTCGCTCACTCATTCCCCCCGCTCAGTCCCTCTCTCTCTCGCTCTGCCCTCTCATCCTCTCACTCGCTCACTCGCTCGCTCCCAAAGGTGTCGGTGTGTTTGAAGAAGCCGTCAGCTTGATGCTGCCGCCACAAGGGCATACCGCCGCCGCGCGCCCCGGCCCCGTCCCCGCGCCGCCCCGCGCACGAGCTCCCGGCGGCCGGCCGCGCGGCTCTCGACGCGTTGGACACGGCGGGCATACCGCCGCTGCTTACGGCCGGACGCGCCCGGAGCGTCCTGGAGGGCTCCAGCCCCGGCGGATCAAGGAGCGCGCGCCGCGCGGCACGGGGCGTCATCAAGCATCACCGCGGCGCCCTCTAGCCGGCGTCTTCAATCAAACGACGTGCCGCCGCCGCCGCCGCCGCCGCCGCAAAGCACCAAAGCTTTTTATTCCAGCAGCGGCATCTCTTTTTCTCGGACTTATTTTTCCTCGGCGCGGCCTCCCTCCGTCTCTGTCGCACGCGCGCGCAGCCAGTCCGCGGGATGAGCAGGAGAGCGAGAGAGATGGAGGATAAGGAGGTGGGCAAGAGCGCGGCAAAGCTACACAACAACGTCGAGCTTGTGTTTCTGCAGACCGTTTAACACGGCCGACTCCTCCTTGGGGCGGTGTGGGGTACATGGATCCACCAGCAGGGAAGCTGCGCGGATCGCTGTCATCAGCAGGTCGACCTCTGCTGCAGGGCACAGAGGAGGGCAGGTCGGCCAGGTACGGACGGAGGCCCCGCTCCCGCACCTCCGCCAGCCCCCGGGGGCCGTGTGCGCTCCTGCCCTGCCGCAGGGCGGGTTCCTCCAACACAAATCGACTTTAGCGCACGGCTGCTCTCCAAAGAGGTGCGCGCCTGTGCGCCGTGCCCGCGGCCCCGGCCCTCCCCGCGACTCATTACCGGTCGCAGGAGAGCTCTCCTCTCCAGCCTCCCTCCCTCTCTCTGCACTCCACTCTCCTCCTCCTCCTGCTGCTGCCGCGCCGCGGGTGTGTCGCTATCGGTGTCTCCCTCCCTCCTCCTCCTCCCCGCTGAAAGGCGCCAATCCCCGCGAGCCGCCGTGCTCGCCGAGCTCCTCCTAGAAGCCCTCTCTCCCTCCCGGCTCCTCTGTTACTTCCACTCCCCCGTTCCCCTCTTAATTTCGCGGCCCGCGCGGCCCTCCGAACATCAGATTAATTTAATTACGAGTGATAAAGAAGGACCCGCGGGCAGCAGCAGCAGCAGCAGCAGCAGCAGCAGCAGCAGCAGCAGCAATGCCACCGGCACCTCGCCGGGCCCTGGCGCGGCCCCCGGGGGCACGTCGGGCACCTGGGCGCGGCGCGCACTGTGAGGTACTATGGAGGTACCATGGAGGTACCATGGAGGCACCATGGAGGTACCATGGAGGCACCTCGAGGTACTGTACTGGAACAATCCGGCGTCTGATTAATGACCACACAGGTAGCAGAGGGGCACCGATCGGGCGCGGATGTGTCCCACGGTGGCCGCCGCCGCCGCGCCCGCCCCGGGGCATAAGCACAAGCAATGCCAATGCTCGCCGTCAGGAGGAGCGAGTGGCAGACTCGAGAGTGCAGTGCCAGCCGTCATAAGCGCCGCGCAGCGCAAGATTGTTCGATCAGAACATTATTTTTCAAAGAGGAAAGAGCATTCGGAAAACTGACAAACGCGGGGACAACTGAACCGACTCTGGACCGGTACCGTTGGTCAGGGCAGGGATACGACACAAACGGGGGTTGCGGAATTGCATACCATACCCTGGCCCAGGCGCCTTACGGGCAGAACGAGTAGGCAACCCAGCATACGGTTGTGTCGTGGCGTTGACACACGGTACAGCCGATGCGGGGTGAGCGCAAAGCGTCGACCTCCAACCATGGAGCTCTATGGTGCAGGCCGACCAGCCAGCAGGCCAGCAGGACCCCCCGCCAAACTGTTGGGGGTCCAGTTTGGGCCGCGCGTCAGCCGACTGCTCTTTGAGCGCCCTGGCCGCCCCACCCCACCCCACCCCGCCCCTTCCTAATTGTGCGGTGGTGCGTCGGCGCGGGCCTCCAAGCTCCAAGAGGTGAGAAGTGCCCCTGACGGATAGGCATCAATCTCAGCCCGGTGGCGGCGGGGATGGGCGCGAGACGTGTGTGAGAACTGGCTCGAACGGCTGCATAGGGGGCGGCGCGGGCGGGCCCGGCGGGCCCTATGGGAGCGGCAGCGGCGGCGGCAGAGGCACCCCCCGGACGCCACCCCCCGGCGGGGGGCTAACGGGGCGGACCTCCTCGGGGTATGGACCCGGGGGCCTCGACGCCCACGGCCGCCAGGATGGGGCGTTACCTGCCGCGGACCCCTCAAAAAGGATTTAGCGGTGCGGGGCGTGAAAAAACCGCCGCTAGCTCACCACCGGCCGGCCCCCCCGCCGAGGCGACGGCGGACGGGGTTAAGAGAGCTCCCCGAGCAACCCGAGAGCCACCCGCCGGCCGCCAGCCCCCGGCTCCGCTTGGCTCCGCGCAGCAGCACGGCGCAGGTCCGAGCAATTAGCTGCAGGCTGCGGCGGGCGGCAGCCAGCCTTGATGAGATTATAAATCTGATGGCGTTCTGTTTCGGCGCGGGTCGCGCGGGCCTCCCCTCCCCTCCCCGCAGCACGGCCCCCTGCGGCGCCGCCCGAGTGGATCAACTTAATGCTGGGCGGGAGGACCTCGGGGAGGACGCGGGCGGCCGGGCCGGCGGCGTAGGGGGCCAAGGGCTCGGCCAAAGGCGACCGCAATGGCGGCCCGGGGGAAGGGTTGGCGCGCGGGTTGGTGCTCGCACGAGTGTGTGTTGGTGCGAACGAGGCGTGCGTTAGTGTGGTGGGCGTGCGTGATTGCAAAAGTGGCACCCTCCGCGGCGGATTAACAGTCGTCCCTACAAATGCGCGCGTCTGGTCTGGAGGTAGCCCAACCATTTCTCTCTGACGACGATTCTCCGAGCTTTCCAATCGCATCAAATTCTGATATTTTCGGTAGAAAAAAAATTTATGGGGAGTGTGTGTGTGTGTGTGTGTAAATCCTGACCGGAGCGAACGCGCTACTACCGCTTGACGATAATGACGGCTACCACTGCTCGTGGTGTAGCTGGGGCTGGGCTAAGCCGAAAGGTCAACCCCCCCCCCCTCCTCCTCCAGCATCCCCGATTCCGAATGCCTCGCGCTGCCGGACCACGGGCCCAGGCCGGCGGGGCGGGCGGGGCGGGCTGGCTACCCCCTTCCCATACACCGAGAGGGCCATCTCCTCGGGAAACGGGCGTTAAACTCAAGAAGTGAATCGATCAATCACACAAACCCGCTGCCAGGAGCGGCTGCGCCGGGGCTGCGCCTGCCTGGATGCTGCGGGCCCGGGCCGATATGGACCAGATTAATGCACGGGGTGATTACCCCGTCAAAGCGTGTCCTCTGCGGCCCTCACGGGGGCCGGCGGGGC